GTTAGGAAGTTTTTAAATTTTTTTTTAATTTTTTTAGCTATACATGGACACAATATCTTTATTTTGTTTATTTATTTTTATGTGGTGCTGAGGAATGAACCTAGGGTCTCACACATGTGAGGCAAGCACTCTATTGCAGAGCCACAACCCCAGCCCTCTAGTGAGGAAGTTCCATGTGTCAGATGTCTCATTGAGAATAATGGTGGGAGTGTCAAGGTACCCAGTGAGGACACTGTATGTGATGGAGTTTTCAGGGTTCAAAGAACATCAGTGAGAAAGGCCTCAGCGAGATTATGAGTATCAGAGGCCTTAATGACTATATATTACATGGAAGAGGCTTTGCTAAGAAGATGATCTTTTTTAGACTGGTCAATGAGAAAAATATGGGCTCAAATGATTCAGTCATTTGAGGGTTGGAGCCCTCTGTGGAGATTTCATATGTGTCAGAGATCTCAATGAGACACATGCTTGTATCAGAGGACTCATCGTACCTACTATGTAACCTTTGGAGGTCTCAGTTATATTTTGAATATCTATCAGACATCAGGTGCCCCAGAGCACTTGGTAAGACAGTACTTAAGAGTTAGAGGTCTCAGGGAGGTCATTATCTGAGCTTTAGAAACCTAAGGGTGGATTGTATATTCATTTCATTGTCCTGCAGTATGTTACCAGTGTGAGTGGACTCAGTGCCATATGATGTGAATGTCAGAGGCCTCAGAAAGGAATAATGGAGTGTCAGAAGAAGATGCATTGAGGATATGATATGAGTATCAGATACCTGCTTCAGGCTATTATAAAAGTGTCCAAGGCCCCAATCAGTGTACCTTATGTGCCACATCCCGAAGCCTTGGCTCTCCCCTTGGTCCTGAGGAGACAGCTCAATTCCACACCCTGAAGCAAGCAGGACAGACGCCAGAAAATGGCGCCGTGAGGCCCCGCCCCTCTGGCCACGCCCAGCGCATGGCGGTGCCCTCCCAGCTTCCTGGTGAATCTCAGCCCTTCCTCCACCCTCAGCTGTTCCTGGATAAAATCTGTGCCTACTGCAGTGACAGGTCTGGCTGTGTTATCTGTGGCACCAGGAGGAGTGGAATCTCAGGAGAAAAGGGGAGTCCGGGCACCCCAGCCCTGCCTCACCAGGCCAAGGGCTGCTGCAGCCAGGCAGAGGCACAGACATGGAGTCCTCGGGACACTTCACTCATGAACCCCAGGGTAGAAGGCCAGAAACGGGGCACTGCAGAGGCCTCTGGGAAGTGTAATCTTAGCCAGGGACTGGCCCCACTTAGGAGCATGGGTTTTAAGAAAGGAAGTGGTCATCATTAAGGGAAAGAAGTAACCCCCCACCCCCAGAGGCCTCTGGGAGTTGCAGGAGGCACCCCACCACCACTTAGGGGATTCTAGATAATTCACCGTGGAGGCTCTGGGAGCCCCAAGTTGTACATTCACTCAACATTCCCAGGGATTTGGGGCAACGTAGTCTGGTGTTCTGCCCATAACAGCCCTCACCTCAGTAGCCTATGGCAACTACAAGCAGCATGCTCGCCGAACTACCTCCAGGATTCTGGGTAGTGGAGTCCAGCACTCTGCAACGCAACCCTCACTGCAGAGGCCCCTGGGAGATGCAGGCCCCAGAGGTTTCTGGGCAGTGAGGTCCCATGTTCTGCCAGGCGTCCCTCACCCTAAAGGCCTATGGGAACTGAAAGCCACAGGGTTGCCCTGGTATCCCCACAATTCTAGATAATGTAGTCCAGCATTTCAGTCTCTAAGAATGGTAGTTTTCACATTCACCCACACATCCCCAGAAATCCTGGGTATTGTCAGAATTTCAGTCTTAAGAAAGAAAGTGGTCATCATTAAGGTTCAGCTCTATTCAGGCAGCCCTCACCTCAGAGGCCTCTGGGAACTGTAGGCCACTGATTATGCTGGGTAGTGCAGCCCATCCTACCTAAGTAGGAACTCTATGCCACAAGCCCACAGGACACCCCTGAGGATGGGCAGTGCAGTTCAAAGCTCTGCTAATGTGGACCTCGATGGGAAGATGTCTAGGTGCTGCAGGCTTCCCAGGGCTTCTGGGTAGTGTAGTCTGGCCTTCTATCTGCATAGCCCTCACCATGAGGCCTCTGGGAGTTGCAGGCTGCAGGCTCATCTTGGCACCTCCTTCTGCCAGGATTCTGTGTATTGTAGTTCAGTTCTCTGCCCTGCAGTCCCAACCACAGAGGATCCTGAGAACTGTAGGCCCTGTAGATTATGGGCCATGTAGTCCCAGTGTTTTGCCTGCATACCTCTTTCAGTTGGACTACAGGGCTGCAGACCACATTTTCACTCTGGCACTATGAGAATTGTAGGTAGTAAAGTCAAGTGCTCTGCCTGCCGTGCTCATCACAGAAAACTCTGGGAGTTACAGGCTGCACATCACCCAGGCATCTCAGGAGATTCTGGGCAGTGTAGTCCGGCCTTTTGCCCTTGCAGCCCTCAGTGTGGAAGCCTCTGGGAACTGCAGTCCCCAAGGACTGTGGGTGGTATATATCTTTCTGCCCACACAGACTTCACTGGAGTGCCCTCTGGGAACTGCAGGCTGCGCTGGATCCTGGATAGTGAAGTACCTCCCACAGTTGAGGCTTCTGGCAGTTGCATGCTACATGTTTGCCCAGGTACCTCTGGGAATTTTGGGCAGAGTAGTCTATCATTCTGCTGCTCAACCTTCACCATGAAGTCCTCTGGAAGCCTCGGGTCACATGCTTTCCCTGGTACCCTGAATATTTTGGGTAGTGTAGCTGTTCTGCCTGTGCAGCCCTGGCTGCAGAGGCTCCTGGGAGTTGTGGGCCCCTGAGGATTCTGGGTAGCATTCTCACCAAACAACCCTCACTATGGGGTCCATAGGAGCTACAGGCTGCATGCTGGCCCTGGTCTCCCAAGGATTCTAGACAATACAGCCTGATGACTGACCATACAGCAGCCATCACCCAGTGGCCCCTGGAATTTGCCAGATGACCCTCCCCACTGTGAACAGATACACCCATCAAATCCCAGCATCATCTGTTTTCCTCTATAAATTTTAGTCACATAATTAAAAGAACTGCTTAATATAGCCATGTTACCAATTGAAAATAATCAAGAATAATTCCTTAAGATCAAGTGCCGAATCCCAGCATTTAATGTTTCCCAAGTCCTCTTTCTTCAGCTTATCACCTATTGATTGAAAAAAGTAGGAAATTCAGACTGGAATCTCCCAGTCTGCTGGTATGGTCTGGCTGTTCCTAGTGTCCTAGGGTCAGGGGGTTGCCCATGCCAGGCACCTCTCTACACTGAACTATAACCCTGCCCTAGGCCCTTCTAACATTCACTTTTCCTCTTTCAGTTTCTGCTTTGTTTTGTTGAAGCCACAGCTGTCTTTGCAGGATTGGTGTTTAACATTGAACTGGCTCTTCATTAAATAGACTTTATTGCTGGTTTATTTCCTTCCCTAACCTCTATTTCTCTGAAGTTAAAAAAATGTAAACCAACTTCTGGTTAGTGTTTAAATAATTTAATTTATTTTTAAATTATTCTTATATGTAACATGTGCCTTTGTAAGCACATAGCTGTTCTATAACTATCAGTCTGTCTTACACTGAGGTCATACTGACCACTCACACCAGTTAACCAACAGACTGTCCTACCCACACAACCCCAAGGTGGGGATGAGGCTTTTGAAGCCACATGGGGGTGACCCTGGACATGACTGTCCACTGTGTTCCCAGAGAAGTCCAACATAAACAAGCCAGCCAGGTGTCCAAGGTGGGAAGGTTGCTAGATGGAGTTTGCCAATAACAATAACCAGACCTTAAGAGGTCACTTCTTTGGTCTTGGGGAATCTTACCTGGTGGTCATGGGTATGGGGCTGGGTTAACTGCAGAGGCACACGTGAGCCTGATGACTGTAACATCTGGGCAGTGGAAGACCTAGATCCAGACAGTGGAACAGATGTGTCATCAAGGAACCTAGCGTGGAGGAGGCTAGGAAAGGAGTCAGAATCCCAACTTCAAAACCCAGGTGTGGTAGGCAGAACAGCCCCCAAAGATATCCAGGTCCTCATTCCTAAAACCTAGGACCACAGCAGTTGACACCACAAGGAGGGTTAAGGCTGCTCATTCCAATGCAGGAAGGTGCTCCCAAGCCACCTGAGCAGGTCCAAGTGACCACAGTACCCTTCAGAGCAAGGGGAGGCAGCCGCTGGAGAAGGGCTAACAACAGAGCAGACTGCTGGCTTTGCAGAGGTGGGAAGGGAACTGAGCCAAGGAAAGCAGGGGCTCCAGCAGCTGAGGGCACAGGAGCGGGTTCTCCTCAAGCTTCCAGAAGGGGCCATGCCACCACATGGGGACAGTCAGGGAACCACCAGTGTCAGCACCTGTTGGCCTGAGCCACATCCTAGGTACTGTGACAGCAGCAGGCAACTAATGCACCATGTGATCATAATTACACCTCAACAGTCATCGCCAGATTAGGAAGGGTACAATTTGGGGATTTTGAGGTCTGGGGCTGCAATTCAACTAAAAAAGTAACCCTGTCTCATGATGCTTGCAGATCTATTTGATAAACTCTTCCAGGTCTTCATTCAAAACAAAGTCACAGAATCTACTACATCAATATTAAAAACAAGAGCGGTATCTGCTATAGCCAAGATCAGGTACAGCAGAATTAATAACCAGTCACTGAACACACAATGGACTGAGTTCATTACCAGGATGAGAATGGAAAGGCTCGGAGTGGGCCACACTGATGAAGATGCTGCCACACAGGAGGCACACTACCAAGTCCAGTCCCAAAAGTTGTTAAGCTCTGAAGAAATGACAGGAGGTGAAGAGCTGGAGCCAAGAACAGCAGCTTCCCCAAATAGGGTTCAGGCTGAGGGCAGTTAGCCAAGTGAGCCCAGTGCCACATTGCTGGTCGTGCTCCGGAGCCTCCAACACCACACGCTTCACGAGGCTGCACAGGAAAGCCCAGGATCCCACAGCCTGTTATACGCTCAATGCAGAGAAGAGGCTTCCCCCCATGGAGCTCCCACTGTTCCTAACGTGCTGGTCACAGGACCCACAGAACACATGGCTTAGAAAGTGCTGCTCATTGCTATGTTGAAAACAAGTGAAGGTCAGGGGAAGGGACCTGGATATCATGAGTTAGAGCAAAGAAAACAGAAGACACTGCTGACATGAAAGTCTTTTTAATTTGGTTAATACACATTTGACAAAATATCTTAGAATAAAATAATCCTGAACAGGTACAAGGTATTTACAGTAACATAAGTGTGAAAATCAAACCGATATATTTCTTTAACATTTACAAAAGCTCTTACTATGAATCTGGAAGACTTTCAACTCCTACCCACTACTCTGGTCTTAAACCCAACAGGGGGAGCGAGGCCCAGCAGTACGAGGTACAGAACACTAACACATTTGGCAGTTAAGGATCTGCTGTGGGCTGGGGTGTGGCTCAGTGGCAGAAAGAGCACTGGCCTAGCAAGAGGTCCTGGGTTTCATCACCAGCGCCCCAGAAGAGAAGAGGGGGGGAAAAAAGCTCATCTGAGATCATCCATTAATTTGTTAGTGTGGGCTGACAGGAAAGTGAGGGCAGGACAGCAGATGGAAGACTCAGATGTACTTGACTGAGGACGAGAAGAGCCCCCCAGGCCTTCCTCACAGCCCCTGCAGAAGGCTGCAGATTACTTCAAAGACTTCCTTGACTTTCCCTGTCAGCAGAAAATCAGCAACCCTGAGACTCAGCTTTCCATGACATARAAGTTTATGAGCATCTAAAAACTGTTCCAAGATTTATAAAATAATTTTACATGATCAAATAGAAAATAACTCTTAGGATTTTAAAATACATCAGGGAAAGAAAATTTTTCTTAAGTTTACTTTTCATGCCTATTCTTGAACATTCCACCTAAAAATTTTTCGTGTGGTGCTGGGGACGGAACCCAGGGCCTGGCACATGCTAAGCAAGCGCTCTACCACTGAGTTGCTCCCGAGCCCTGTACCTAATAACCTCTATTGTCTGAAACTGGGTTTTACACACACGCACACATATTTTAACAGGGGTTCAGAACTTGCTCATTTACTATACAGAATGCCTACTTCTCTGTGTTACTATTTAAATATATTTAAAAGAAATGAGAAGTTTTAACCATCTGAAATATACAGTAGAAATTTGTTGATTTACAAGACAGCCACATAACAGCAGAAAAAAGTACTTATCCTTTCAACACTAGTGAAACAATCACACACGGTACACGCTGCACATTACCATCTACTGGCCCAACCAGGCCATGTAACAAGCTGCAGTCTCCACAGACAGCATTGTACAGCAAGTGTTCACACTGTGCTCAAAAATCAAATCTGTGGCTCCTCCAAGGAGGACTCAAGAGCTTCCATCAGCTTTTTATTTGCCTCTTCATTATGCCTGCTTTGACAATGAGTTAGGTGTTTCTTAAAGCCTCTCGGGAAATTGGATTCAAAATTACAACGTGGACATTTAAGTAAACTTTGCCCATGAGCTGCTACATGATTCTTAAGGAGAGATTCCAGAAGAAAGGCCTTTCCACAAATTGTGCACTTGTAAGGACTGTGGACATTGTGCTTATTAACCAAATGATGCAAAACAGCACCTTTCTTCATAGCACGACAGCAACAGATCTTGCAATAATATTTCCCCTTCCCACGCTTCATGTATTTTGCAATCTCCTCTTCTGAGATAAATGCTTCTTTTTCTTCAGTGAACTGTAGCACATTTCTGGATTGCTCTGGACTTGTCATGTCCATTTTGTTCTCTTTGCCAAAATCAATAGATTCCACATCCACCTGTTCTTGATCACTGCTGGACTCCTGGCCCTTCATGTCTATGGCATCCAGGTCTGTTCTGAGGTACTCACTGCTGCTCAGCTCAGCATCTGAGCTCTCCTGGCTATCCTTCTTGAGCTTCTTAGAGGAAGGAAATAGGGCATCTTCCAAGAGTTTCTTGGGAGTGGCCAGAAGCTCTTCCTGAACCAAAAGATCACATTTTTGGTCCTCTGCGGCATCTATCTGTAGCTCATCACCAAGCTCTGCTGCTTTCTGAGCCTCTGAGAACACAGCAGACTTGGGCAGTTCAGGGAACAAGGCATGCTTCCGGGACTCTGGGAAAAGAACACGTTTCCGTGGCTCAGGAGAAGCAGGAGGGGCTGCTCTGGTGGGCTCAGGAAACAGTGCAGACTTTCGAGACTCAGCATCAATAGAAAGGACAGGCTTCCAGATATCCGAAGCCATTCTTGGGGACTCAGATGACCCAGAAGGACCTGGCTTCCGGGTTTCAGGGAAGACAGCAGGTTTCTGAGGTTCCATGACAAAGGAAGACTTCCAGAGATCAGGAGAACCACCACGGGAACTTTTTTGAGACTCAGAAAAATCAAATGAAGCAGGAGAAGTTTTCCGCTGGTCAGAAGAAAGCTTCCAAAGGTCTGGTGACCCTGAGGGTTTCCTGAGCTCTGGAGAGCCTGCTGGGCTACGGATCTCTGGGGAGAGTGGCGGGCCTGGTCTGCGAAGTTCAGGAGACACTGGGGGAACTGCTTTCCAGTGCTCAGGTGACAAGGCAGGGGATGACTTTCGGAGCTCTGGTGGTCCAGACTTCCACGACTCTGGAGATGTAGGGGGAGTTTTCCAGGAGCCAGATGAGACTGAAGACGACTTCCAGGATGCAGGGGACACAGATGGAGCTGGTTTCCAAGGTCCAGGTGATATAGAAGGAATTGGTTTCCAGGGTCCAGGAGACACAGATGGAGCAGGTTTAGTTGGCTTCCAAGGTCCTGAAGATGCTGAAGGACTGGATTTCCAAGGCCTTGGGGATCCAGGTGGCCCTGGCTTCCAGGAACCTGGCGACACAGCTGGGGCTGGTCTCCGGGGCTCTGGGGAGACAGCAGGAAATGGCTTCCAAGGTTCAGGAGACTCTGACGGGGATGGCTTCTTTGGCTCTGGAGAGGCAGTCCGGGTGGGCTTCCGAGATTCTGGAGATGCAGTTGGGGACAACCCCCAAGACTCAGGGGAAGCAGCCAGAACTGGTGACTCAGGAGATGAGGCTGAAGGTGGTCCCCCTGTGTCTGCAAAGTGAGAGTGCTTCTGAGGCTTAGGGTTAGCAAGAGCAGCCTTTACTGGCTCAGGAGACATAGGGACAGGTTTCTGTGGCTCTGGAGAGGGGACAGGGACAGGCTTCTGCAACTCAGACACAACAGGTGCTGATTTTGGAAGCTCAGAAGAAACAGGAACAGGTTTCGAAGGCTCCGGAGGAGGAGTTGTTGCCTGCTCAGGAGGAACAGCAGGGCCGGGTTTCTGAAGCTCCAGTGGAGCAAGAGGATCAGGTTCAGGGGACTCTGGAGACAGAACTGGACCTAGTTTCTGTGTTTCTATGGAGAGGGAAGTCCCAGGTTTCAGGAGTTCTGCTGAATTAGAGGGTGTTTTCTGGTGTTCGGGAAGAGGGGGCATTCTCAAAGGATCTGTTTCTTTGTTCAACTGACTTTTCAGTTTATCATTCCATTTTTCTGGGGCTGCATGTTTGGATGTGATGTGATAGTACACATTGGAGTACATTTTGCTGGTGAAGAAGCATTTATGGCAGTGAAAGAGCTTTGCGCTTTTCTGGTAAAATATCATCTTACCTAAACCCCCAGCATCCATCTCATCACAGAACTCTGGGTGGATGGTGCCCATGTGGATCTGCACATTTTCATAATCGGTGCCTCTGAAACTGCAGTGGTCACACTCCAAACGTACAGATGGTTTCCGAAGTTCCTGGAAAACTTCCATCTTCTTTCTATCACCAACACATACAACTGCGTTCTTTAAAAACTTTCAACACTGTGCAACAAAGTAAAAATAAATTATTTTTACAGACATTGTTTTAAATAAAATGCTGTCCCAGTTCACTCTATAACTGCATGAGTTTAGGTCTAGAATAGCATATGCTTTATTAGATATATCTCTAAATATTTTGAGAGACGCATATGGAACTAATTTCTGAGTCCTAGGTACTCTACTGGTTTTCCATACCTTATCAGGACAGAAGACAGACAGGCGCAGGTGACCCACACATGCTTTCTTTTCTAAGAAGCAATTTTCCTGCAGCACTGACTGGCCTAAGTGGACAGACTATGTCACATTCCTCAGCAAACTACCTGTTATCTGAAGAGAAATGCAGGCCTGAAATAATCTGTCTCATAATTTTAGAATAATATTTATTCACCAAAAACACTAGCTTGCATAAAAATTTAAAACTTAAGGCTATTATCCTTGCAAAGCTCAGTTTTAAATTATGCTTTCTCATTTCTTAATTTTTTAACCATTTAATAAACTTTTCCTAATTTTGATTTTTTTTTTAAATATTTTGTTTTAGTTGAGACACACTATCTTTATCTTATGTGGTGCTGAGGATCGAACCCAGTGCCCCGCACATGCTAGGTGAGTGCTCTACCACTGAGCCACAATCCCAGCCCCTTGTTCTTTTTTTTTTTTTTTTTTGACCTTAGTATTGGAGTATTTTGCAGTGCTGGGACCTGGGATGGAAACCAGAGCCTTGCGCATGCTACGCAAGCTCTACCACTAAGTTGAGCTACACCTCCAACCTGAAACATGTCACTTAATTCCATCTGGTTTAAGGAGACAAGAATCTAGCTCCATTTTTTCACCCTGAATCACCTGCTCAACAATCCTGATCACACAGCTTTTTTTCCATGTGAGGACCACTTAGTATTACTAACTTTCATGTATAACTCTACTCCATATTCTTCTGCTCTGCACTGTTTCCCTCTCTACTTCCCTTCATTGCTACTTCCGTTCTGGTATGCCAATCTCAGCATAAGAGCATAAGAGATTCTATAATTACTGTATATTGTTGAGTTTATGCCTCAAGTGGGCTGCAAAATCTTTTCTCATTATCAGTCAGGCACAGTGGCAATGTGCTGGMGTCCCAGCTACTTAGGAAACTGAAGCAGGAGGATGCCTGAGCCCAGGAGGTCAAAGTCAGTCAGGGCAACACAGGGAGGGCCTGTCTCTAAAAATTTTTTTTAAAAAGTTTTCCTATCAAATGGCACTTGACCTTTTACCAAAACGACAAGCCACTGCAGACAGCATGTGGGATGTTCTGTGCCAAGGATGATGGGGAAGGCATATTCTTTCTATGGGACTGATCCTCAGAGAGCTGAACAGGTCAGACACTTCAGTCACAGCATCAGAACACAGATGAGAAAGATTGGATAACATGCCTGATTCTGATACATTCTGCTTTTTTTCCCCCTCTTTGTTTCTGGTGGCACTGGGGATTGAACCCAGGTGTATGATAGGAAAGCACTTTACCAACTGAGCTATACCACCAGCCCATAAATTATGTTTTTAAAGATGTTACTGCTGACTACTGTTTTCAACTACCTCTATCAGTAGTGTCTCATTTGCTTTTTTTAGTCTTTTTTTTTGATCTAAAGCTAAACAGAAGATAGACATTGCCCAGCAATTATGTCTTTTAGAAAATTACTTTTGGGCCCAACAAGACTATACCAGTAGAAAAATATAGTTACAAGTTCTGAAGAAAAATCTCTAAAATGATTAACTTATAAACATGATGAATAAACATGCTTCAGATTAAGATAAAATAAAGTTTTGTCTCAATAACCCCATCTGGCAGTGGTGACAGTGAACAGCCAAGAGCTGCTGGTAGCAAAGCAGCATCATGACACACATCTCATGGGCATCACAGAGCTCAACTGGTCTCCCTTCCTCTTCCTGTCACCTAAATTCCACCGTTCATGCCTGCTGCCGTCAAGTCTCATCACTGTACTCAAATAACCTCTTTCTTCAAAAAGTTCTTCAAAGAATGTGAAATAATTCATTCTTTATACCCCAATTCTACAGAGACATGCATATTCAGCATACCTTCATGCAGTAGTGAGACAGGTGTGGAATTTTTCCTCGATAACTCCAGCACTTTTCAAAAATTTTTAATTATAAAATATTCTCCTAAACATTAAAAAATGATAAGTATTAAAACAAACAAACAAACAAACAAACAGCACATGCAAAGAAATGCTAGTGAAATAGCGCTTTATAAATCCTGAAAATGTTTTTAGGGTGGAGAAGAAACAGTATAACAAACTCTTCCCTGCCACCTACCGGCTATCTCCAGGGACACCTAAGTGGCCTTCAAAGGAGAGGTGGTCTACATGGCTTTCTAACACACAGAAAACAGCCTCAGTGGGGCAAAGATGAGAAGCTGAATCTGGGGGGGGGGGGGACAAAACAAAGGAAAGGTAATCAAAATTACAACTCCGTGATCATTTGGACCACTCTTGGTTCTATGTCCCTCTTGCCATGAGGACTCCTTCAACAGTGAGGGATCCCACCCAGTAAGCCTCGACAAAGCACCTAAGCCTGCAGTAGATACCCACTGTTCTTTTCTCACTGTGCACTGCCATCAACTATGTAATCATACCCATATAATTATAACCAGACCCCTCTCAAATTCACTACCTGACTTTAGCTTACACAGTCTTGGGTACAGTGACCCTGTCAGGCACTCACACACCTGCTGGTGCAGCGCGTAAGGAACTGATGTTCTGCTGGTCATCAATGTTGTTGACATGCAGCCGTGGAAGAAACAATACAATCAACAGGACCCACAGGAAACAAGAAAGAGGACTGGCAGGAGGCATGATGGAGGTGTTCTGACGGAGAGGAGGAAGGGATGACCTACCCAGTGACTGCTCTGGCCTATTCTCTCCCTGTGTGCACTTCAATGAGACAGTTTCCTCATCTGCTGAGTTTGCTGACAAGAACAGAATAGAGTACACTGGCCATGAACAGAAAACCACTGCCTATATATCCTGATAAACTCCAGCACTTCCACTTACTCCTTCCTGTCTCCCCTTGGCTCAACACTCTTAATTTTGACACCTGACCATGCCCCCCATTCATCACTCTGCTTGCTACCATGGACAACTCCAAACCCTACAAGCCTAATGTAACTTGCCTGCTTACAATCCCTATCTGCCAAACACCTGCAGAACAAAAATCTCAACACAGCACAGAAAGCTCCCGACCAGACTGCATTTTCAAAAGTACTGACCACATATAACTCCCTCACTCTTCTGAAGCTTCTGGGTCTTTCCACAGACATTTCCTGCCCTTTACATTCTGCCTTGCTACCTACCCATCAGGCAAATCCTTTCATCCCTCAAACTGGTTACCTTTTTAGACAATGGCCAATTTCCCATTCCCCAACCATCCTTACATCCAGCTATATGCATACTTCCATGGTACAAGTCAGCCTGATTCCACACCAGGTCATGGTTTTCAGCACATAGGACTATCCACTTACTTACCTCCGAAACCCTCGTACACCCTTTAAACACTGTGTGCTCAGAAAACATCTGCTCAATCCCAACATTCTCTTAAGAAGGTTGAGGACCCAATATTAGACTCAAGGACTTTAAAACCAGAAGTAACCTGAGCACCCATTTCAGGGTGCATCTACTTTAAAATTCCAACTTAGGAGAYGAGGAAACTCAAATCTGACATTAAATGGCTTGCCCAAGATTATGACCAGCATCTGACCAAGACAAAACAGACTTCTGTTTCTCCAGACTCTCTTGAGTGCATCATGATCCAATGAACACACTGAAATTCAGTAAGGCCTTGAGAAGCCAGTACAATGGACCAAAACTAACAAAATGAACCTTATCAAACATTTAGAATTCACACACCAATTGCATAAGTACAGCACTACAGAGAGCCATGTCCCATATTCTGCACAGGGCAGAGCATCCCACACTCCACATACAAAGTCTCTAGCTCTGGGCAGGAGAGACGGCACTCCAACAGTCCCTAGCAAACTAGTGAACATGAAAAACAACAATGCAATGGCAGGTGGCACTGGAAAACAAGTCACTTAACTTCACACGCAGAAAAACTATGGATAACACAGAAGCTGTTCTAGAAGCAACAATGGAAGCCAGCAGAACAGATTTTAGCTCCACAGTTTTACAAACTACTCCACCATGAACTGAAACAAGATGCTTTGTCAGTAGGGCCATAATTAGAAGCTAGCAAGGTACAGGAACAGAGTTTTGAGTCCAATCTCTCTGTTTTACAACTGAGAAAACTGATGCTGAGGGAGAGAAGCAGCTTCTCAAAGATTACAACATTAGGTCAGAAGACCATGGATTCTGGAGTCCAGGTCTCTGTTGTAACACAACGCTCTCTCTTTCCCACTCTGGCTGCACCATCCACAGGGGCATTCCAGAAAAGTCCAGAATCTTAAAGTCCAGCTTTAAGATTCCAGAAAGAAAAAAGATAGGAAAAATTCCCCTAAGTTTCTGAGCTTCTAATACTAACTACAAATTGTCAAATAAATAGAAATTTCTCTCTGCCTACTTTTCACCATTACGGACTGCATCTTTGATGCTCTGCCCACCCACCAGCATGCAGTGCCACACCACATTCTATAGCATTTATTTCCTTGAGGTCTCAGACTGTCTTTTAAAATACATTCTGATATGTAGCTTTTCACATTAAAATCCAATTATGCAGAGCACGTTTAAATCTAATCGGGTTCTCAGTCTACAGACACTTTGGCTCTGTTCTTCATCGCTGGCTGGTTCTTTTAATTAACAAAATTATTTTCCGAATAGTTTTATGCTTTAAACAACGTTAACAGGAGACACACAGGTTTCCCACGAACCTCTCCTACGCCCCCCGTTTCTGTTACTACAGCTGATTAATTAGCGTGGGGCATTTCCAACAAGAGTCGCCTGGAGAGCGACCCAAACACCGGGCTCACGGGCATCCGCCAGCGTCCCTCGGAAATGTCACCGCCCCCGGGTTCCCGCGCCCGCCGCCGGGCGGAACCGTCAGCTCCGATCGGGACAGCATTTCCCTCCGGGTCCCTCACCCCGCCCCCGCTCGCCCACGCTCCGCGCGTCCCCGGGCGCAGCCTCGCGCGGTCGCCGCTGACCGCACCCCAGCGGGGAGGGCGCGCGGCCCACACAGCGACCCGGCCCGCCAGCTCCTCGGCACCCGCTCTCACCCTCGGCGCGGTGGCGCGGAGAGGCCTGCGGCGCGGGATCCCTAATGGCGGCTGGACGCGGGGACCGGAAGTGCCGCGTGCCCGCCCCGGAAGTGCAGTGCGCCTCCCGCCTCCGTCCTCCCAGTGCCGCGGCGAGCGTCAGAAGGTTCCGCTGCGCAGGCGAGTTCCGGCGTCCCTCGATTTCTCCCGGTGTCTCCTGGCTTCCGGCGTCCGCGGGTCTCGGTGGTTATTGCCGTTTGAGCGGGTTGATTTTTAAAGGCGCAGGGCTGGGCCGTGCCACCGCGGGGCGCCTGGTGGCTCGAGGTCAGGCCCCGTGGTGTCACCGCCACCGTCCAGGCGCGCGTGCTGCGCCGCGGTCGCCTGGAGGGCCGGCGTGTGCGCCTGCGCGGTCGCGAAGCGTCGCGCTCCCGGGTGGTGCGGCGCCCCGGCCGGTGGTCAGCCAGACTCTCGGGGACTGCGCCCGCGCGGACGGCGCGTGTGTTCTTCGTGGCCCGCTCTGCGGTCCACCGAGCACCCCGGGGGTCGTCCGCGCTGCCGCCAGTTGCCCGCGGCTCAGCGCCGGCGTCGCCGCGTGCGCACGTGCCCTGCGGTGCCCGCGCTTCTGGGCCGGCCGCTGGGCAGCGAGGCCGCCTTGGCCGCGCCTGGGGGTGCGTCTCCAGGGCACGTGAAGGCGAGCACCTCGGCAGGCCGCCGGCCATTGTCAGGCCGTAGCCTCGGAAAGAGTCATGCAAACCCGTTCTCCTTTTCCTAACCCGGTGGTCGAGGTTTGGTGGTGGTTRTAAGAATTCTGGGTCTCAACCCCTGAGAGTCAAATCCGCAGGTGTTCCCCGCCCCGTTCTGGGAGTTGCCCCTACCCTGATAACCATGACTTTTGAAGCGTATTTTTTTTTTATTTTACTGCATTTAATTTTTTTTTTAGTTGTCAATGGACCTTTATTTTATTTATTGATACTTGGTGCTGAGAATCAAATCCAGTTTCTCAATCATGCTAGGCAAGCGGTCTGCCACTGAGCCACAATCCCAAGCCTGTATTTTTACTTTAAATGCTTACAAAAAGTTTTAAATGTCACAGTTTGATATACTGTGAATTCATAAAACAATGTAAACACAAAAATGCAATGTATAAAAGTAAAATAAACACTGTTTTAGGATACAAATTTACAATAAAACCTAGGAAATAACATCCTCTAAACAAGTTAATTTTTATGAAGTTCTGTTGCTTTGCTTTTCCTTTACTTGCCTGTGCCTTTGGTATCATATCCAAAAACTCATTGTCAAATCCAGTGTCCTAAACATTTATGCTGTTTTCTTCCAATACTTTCAGGTATTGCGTTCAGGTCTTGATATGCTTTGAATCAGCTTTTGTATGTGACATTAGATAAGGGTCCAACTTCAGTCTATTTTGGACATCCAGTTTTCTCAGCACCATTTATTGAAAGGACTATCCTTTCTCCTCTTAAGTGGACTTGGCACCCTTGTGAAAAATTATTTGATCATATATGCAAGGGTTTTCTGAGAGTGGGGAGCTATGTGTTCCATTGGTATGTCTGTCTATATGCCAATACTGTACGGTTTATTACCTTTTTTTTGATAATACCTTTTGAAATCAGAATGAGTGTGTCCTCAAGCTCTGATCTTTTTTAAGATTGTTTGACTATTTGAGTTCCCTTGAGATGCCTTGGTTTTTAGGACAAATTTTCTTTTTAGGAAAATGTATTGACTTTCTTGGTTCCTTTATATATGATTGACAGCTTAACAGTATCGTTTTCCAGCCCAATGGGTAGTGCACACCTGTAATCCCAACTACATGGAGGCTGAGGCAGGAGGATTGCAAGTTTGAAATCAGTCTTGGCAATTTAGTGAGATCCTGTCTCAAAATAAGAAGGGCTAGAGGGCTGGGGTTGTGGCTCAGTGGTAGAGCACTCACCTAGCACGTGCAAGGCCCTAGGTTGGCCCCTAAGCACCACATAAAAATAAGTTAATAGGGGCTGGGGGGTGTGGCTCAGAGGTGGAGCGCTTGCCTAGCATGTGTGAGGTACTGGGTTCAAGCCTCAGCACCACGTAAGAGTAAAGATATTGTGTTCACTTTTAGCTAAAAAAAAAAAAAATTAAAAAAATAAATAAAACAAAGGTATCGTGTGCAACTACAACTAAAAAGTAAATATTCCAAAAGAAGAAGGGCTGCAGGTGTATCAGTCCTGGGTAGTGAAAAAAGAAAAATTGTCTTCCAATTCATGTACATGAGATGTGTTTCTCTTTATTTATGTCATCTTTAATTTCTCTCAGTGATGTTTTCAATTGCTATGTAGTTTTCAATGTTTAAGTCCTTCACGTCTTTGGTTAACTTACTTTCTACATACTTTTATGTTGTAGTTATGGAATTAAAGTGTTGTAATTTGCTTTTCAGATTTCTCATTAAGAAATGCAACCAGTTTTTATGTAACTTTGTCTCCCTATACTTTGCTAAATGAATTTGTTGGTTCTAACAGGGTTTTATGATAATTTGGGGGTTATCTATATATAAAATCATATAGCCTGGACTTGGGCATCCCTATAACCCCAGCTACCTGGGCTGTTGAAGCAGAAGGATCATGGGTTTGAGACCCGCCTAGGCAACATAGCAAGCCCTTGTTCTGAAAAAAAAATCATATAAAATCTATATAAGCAAAGATAATTTTACTTCTTTTTATTTTTCTTGCCTAATTGCTCAGGCTAGAGTTTTCACCACTACTTTAATAGAATTGTGAAGGTGGGAATGCTTGCATGGTTTCTTAGAGGAAAGTTTTCAGTCTTTCACCATGAGTATGATACTCACTGTGGCTTTTCATACCTGTTTTTTTATTGTGTTGAGGTAGTTCTCTTCTATTGATTGTTGAATGTGTTCATCATAAAAGGGTGTTTTATTATGTGATTTTCTGCATTGATTGAGATGATCAACTGTTTTATTTCCTTTGGTCTGCTAATGTCATGTATTACATTGATCAGTTTTTGTATAAACCATCCTTGCATTCCAGTAATAAATACTGCTTTGTCATGGTGCATAATTCTTTTAATGTGTTGCTGAATTGGATTTGCTAGTGTTTTGTTGAGAATTTCTGCATCAGTATTCATTCCTGATGATGTTGAATATTGGTCTATAATTTTCTTGTGTTGTGATTTCTGGCTTTGGTATCAGAATAAGGCTGGCCTCATAAAATGAGTTAGGATGTATTTCTCATCTTCAGTTTGTTTTGAAATTGAGAACAACATGATCTTCCTTTTCAGCTTTTCTTTAATGTTTCGTAGAATCACCAGTGAAGATGTAAAGGTCCAGGACTTTGCTTTGTTTAGAGAATTTGATTCAATCTGCTTACTGATTATAGATTTATTCATATTTTCTATATCTTTGTGACTTGGTGTTGCTAGGTTTTGTGTTTCTAGGAATTTGTCCATTTCAAATATGTTGTCCAATTTGGTGGTATACAATTGTTCATAGTACTCTCTTAAAATTATTTTTATTTTGTAAGAAATGAGTGAAATATTCCCACTTTTATTTGAGATTTAGGAATTTTAATCTACTCTAATTTTTTCTTTTAGTCCTCCTAAATAAAGATTTTTCAATTTTTTTGATATTTTCAAAGAATCATTTTTGTTTCATTGATTTTTTTCCTGTTGCTTTTCTATTTCATTTTTTTCAGCTTTAATCTATTATTTCTTACTTTCTGTTAGCTTTTAGTTTAGTTTGTCCTTTTTCAAGTTCCTTAAGTTGTAAAGTTAGATTGTAGATTGAGATTTTCTTGCTTTTTAATATTTATAGTTATAAATTTCCCCTTTATCGCTTCTTTTACAGCATTGCATAAATTTTGCTTGTTGTGTTTTAATTTTCATTCATCTGTAAGTACTTTCTAATTTGTCTTGTGACTTGTCTTTGATCCATTGTTATTTTCAGAGTGTGTTAATTCCCACAAATTTATAAATTTTCTAGTTTTACTTCATGGTGGTTTTTTTTTGTTTTGTTTTGTTTTGTTTTTACTTTTAGAGTTTTCTAACTCCATCCTACCTGATCTGAGATAAGACATTGCATGATATTTGTTTTTTATGTTTACTGACACTTTAATTCTGGCCTCACACATAATCCCTGCTGGAGAAAGTCCCACATGCACTTGGGAAAAACATACGCATTGTTGCTCTTGTGATCTGAGATGCTCAGGGACTACCATGGGCAGAGAGGGCAGTTGCACCTCTGGGCCTTGGTTCATGGCCTGACAGCTATTCCATGTCCCACTGTAGCTCACTTGGTCAGATGCTAGATGCGTGTCATCTCTCCACCCTCAAGGAGCACCAGGCTCATCATCGGAGCCAGGGCAAGAGTACTTGGCTAAAGTGCCTGCACAGGCCAGAGCACACCAGCAGTGTTCCTAATCCCAGCAACCCTACAAGCCCATAAACCCAGCCCCTTTCTTTTGCTCCTTCCAGATAGCCTGACACTCTTCTCAGAGCTGCCTCTCCCTTCCCGAGCAGAGATACAGAACGTCAAGCCTTAGTTCCTGGTGTCCCCAACAGACGTTCACTGAGCCCAGTTCATCTGCTGTGTTGTTCATGTGCTGCCAATTCCTCACTTCTGTCTGCTTTATCTACACATTATAGGGGGGTTGACCTTCTTTCTGTCATCTTTTCTTCATGTGTGTTGATGGTCTGTCATTAGGTGTGATTTACACACTTATCCTTAGGTCTGTCCTTGTCATATAGCCTTAGTGTATTGACACTTACTATATAAAGTCCTTCTTGGTCTCCTGTAACCTTTTTTGATTTAAAGTCTGTTTTATCTGATATTAATATAGCTACCCTGCTCATCTGTGTTTCCTATTTGAGTGGACTATCTTTTTTCATTGATTTCAGTCTATTTGTGTCTTTGGATTGAAAGTGAATCTCTTCTGGACAGCATATAATTGGATCTTTTTAAAAATCCAGCCTGCTGATTTCTGTATTTTCATTATAAAATATGA